GGCAGTGCCCGTCAGCTAGCAAGACAGAAGACAGAGAACCAGCCACTGGGGTGGATAAAATTGTTAGAAATAGGGTTAACAGTAGACAACTGCTATGAAAAATAAAGCCACCATGGGATGGTACTGAAGAGAAGGTCTGGCAAGGGTAGAAGAACCTTATATTGAGTTGGGAGAGTAGGATTCTACTTCTAGATCTGCTATCAAGCTGGTAAGCCCTGGGCAGGTCACTGAACCTCTATGGGCCTCAATTTGCCATCTACAAAATAAAAGAGTCAAATTATTGCTAAGGTCTCTTCTAATAATAAAACCCAATTTTAAGAGCACAAAAGACACTTAAACACTAGACATACTATTTAATCCCATAAGTCCATGAGAATATCGTAATGACATTTATTAAATTTTTACCATCTTACTTTTCCAGGTCTTACCAAATCTGGGTATTTCCTATCAGTTCACCAGGGTAACTACTTAGGTTAACATTTAGTCAAACATTCTCCTTTGTGATCAGAAATATCAAGAGGGAAGCTGGGGAACCATTTATAGCAGACATAACTCTTTTCTGAACTGGCTTAATAAATTATTTTAGCAACTTAGCTTTGGCATTAAAGTTGGCCTTTACGCTAACTGCATTACAATAATTCTTCGGAAAGGGTTTATAACACTTATACTAAATAAGCAGAGGCAGCACACTAATTGATACAATAAGTAACAAACACTTCTACATAATTATGGAAATATCAACTACATTGGCTCCATCAGTTATCTATTGCTACATAACACTCACCCCAAAACTCAGTGGCTATATTTGCCCATAACTCTGTAGGTGAGCAATTTAGACTATCCTGGCTGGGCAGATCACTGCTGGTCATCAGGCCTGAGGTCATCTGGAAACTCGATTTGGGCTGGAGGGTCAAGATGGCCTCACTCGCATGCTTGGTGCTTAGCACCTTCCAACAGGCTAGTCCCAGTTTCCCTATGCAGCAGCAGAAGAGTTCCCAGCAGCAAGAGAGGGCAAGACTCAATGCATCAAGGACTTCTGAAGTCTGTCCTCCTGTAACATTTGCTAACACACCACTGGCCAAAGCTAGTCAGATGGCCAAGCCCAGAGTCGGTGGAGGGAGTGGATACAGAGTGTGGATTCAGACAGGTGAGTCATTAAGGGCCATTACTGTCACAATGTACCACATTGATGATTAGCTGTTTTGGCCAAATAATGAGAATGGTTTTATCATTTAAAGGGCAGCCTTTCATTTAGCAATCCTTATTTTCCTTAGAATTAGAACTTTACAGAAAATAGTATTTCCTAACACAGTAGAATGTGAAACAAGTCTAGTTTTAGTCTTGAGCAAATGATTCGTTTCTTCTTCTAGCCTTTCTAGGCTTCAGCTAGAAACTAGCCTTTATCTAGTCTTCGACTCTGCCACTGACCACCAGTGTGATCTTGAGATAGTTACCTAATATCTCTGGGTGTTACCTCCATCCTTGGTAAAATGGGAATTATCATCATTTGTCCTGTCTATCACACATGGTTGTTCTTCCTGTTGAATTCTACCCAAGTCTTTCAACATTTATTGAGGACCAACTATGTTTCAGGCATTGTGCTGGGAACACAGACTAAAAAAATTCACTTTCACAGTGTATAAGAATGTAATATTTAAAAAACTGAAAATAAAACAAATGTATATAAAACATGGTATACTTTTATAGAAGAATACCACAGAGAAGTTAAAATTAGTGAACTACATGGAACAACCATGTAATGGTAATACATTTTATGCACTGCACACGGGCATTGGCCAAGGCGGTTAGCAGAGGCTGACATCCAACCCATATTCGATTTGCCAAACCACAAACCCAACCTTGGTGCAGGTTTCATCTGTCCAAAGAAAGTACATTTTCCTTTTGACACAGGTGCATTCTGCTCACCTGAGGGGCTGTTTCAGTGCAGAGGAAGTACCTCTGGCTAGTTCTCACAAAGGCACTTAGTAGGCCAGTGGCTTTAACACCACCATGTATGAAACTCAGGAACATTACATGAGGTGAAAGATCAAGTCACAGAATACACTCACTATGATTCCAAATCATGGAAAATACACTGCTGGTTAGAGATAAAAGCACATGGGGTTAAACTATAAAGAAAAGTACGGGGAACAAGTCAGAATATTCAGGTTACTGTTCCCTCTAACTAGGAAGAAAAGAAAACAGGATTGGGAGAAGCACACGAGAACGTCAAAGGTAACAGTACGGCTCTAGTTCTTAAACTGGGGATAACGACGCATGCGCTCAACGTACACTTACACTCTGTACTTCTGTATATTTTATAAATATTTTGTGCAATATTTAATAAAAACAATTGGGAAAACAAAAGACTTGTTCCCTGTATTCAAAAAGCTTAAAACTCTGTAGGAGGAAGAGAATCAATGCCTATAAATATAATAGAATGTGGGCTTTGATAAAGACATGTACGGTTTGACAGCTTCAAAAGAAAGCACCAAATTTGATGAAGCATGCCAAAGTACTTTACAAGGTAATATCTATACTGTAAAGTGCTAACTATATAAGTATAAAACAGTTATCCACAGGATGATAATTTCAGGTTTCAGGATGATAATTCTAACAGTTTAAGCAACATCTGCTTTTTATTTTTAAAAGTCATATAGAACTCAAATAAAATTATATTATTTGAAATAAGGATGATGTACAAAGGAGCTGCTATATGGTGGGTCTAATAAATATCAAAATGAAACTTGGAGAAAACCTTCAGTCTATTACTCTATGGGCTGGTAAAGTGATAGAGCAATGATTTTTTTTCATTTTACTCCCCAGAATAATATTTACCGGGAAGCAGAAGAAAAGGCTGGAATAAAGAAACCAATCACTTGCTCAAAAATCTATATGGCTTATCTATACACTCTATACTGGGTTAAAAAAAAAAAAACTCTCTAAAATGCTAACCACAGAATTAGAGATAAGTTCTCATTTATACTTTTAGAATACTACTACTATATAATATCTCTACATAAATACATGTAAATGCATGTTTTTAAAGTCTAAGATAAGGAACAGATAAAGAGTGAAGAGAAATGGATAAAATGGGGGAACATTTTAGGTTTTATTCAAATTACCTCAAATATTCCACGTTTTAAGACCGATGAATATAGAATCTCTATAAAATTGTGGGGTCCTCATCATGGGTATCTAACCCCGAGTCCCTTCTCCTTAATTTTATTTAGTTAAAATGTAATGATTTTTAAACCAGCCTATTTAACTTACAGAAAGTTTCCTCTGAGAAAGTGGAGCCATTTAAAAATATAAAACTAATTACTATGAGAAGACAAATATAAGCCTCTATTACATACTTCTATTACAAATGACATAATGATCATGTGTCAAACAATAAATTAGCACAAACCACCTCTGCACAAAGCTTTCAATCTACTATATAGTTCAAATTCAAGTATATTCACTACCATAAATTAGAATTTTTGCACCCTGAAACTACAAACTCGGGTTTAACAGTAAGAGGAACAAAAGAGTAATTTCAAACTTTTATCTCAAAGAAGACTATAGCTTAAAAGTTAAAATAACATTTAAAAATCAAATTGGTATTCTTTATTATTAAGTGATAATTTCAGGCTATACTCATGAAACAAAAGATCATCAATCAAAAGCAAGATCATATGTACCATATCAATTTTCAAATTCAAATACAGAACCACTCAAAGAAGAAAGAACTGTTCAGTTTAATTTCATTCTATAAAAAAACCACTAACACCAAGTTTTGTGATCAAAGTGCCTATACTACATTATAAACATTTATACCTAAAACCTACTTAACCAATTCAGTATAACAATTAGAAGGCCTAATAATTACTTATACCTCCACCTATATTCAAAAATGGTTTGGGATATAAAATGCCTTTCCAACAAGGCCATTAGGTTCTTTATGAAAAAATAGAAACTGATTTAATCTATTTTGTTATTTAATTCCAAAGCCTACAATCAAGTTTAATATAATTAGAATAAAAATGCTATTCCACTGTCTACTGCTATACTGTTAAGTTATATATGTATACAAATATGTGTGCGTGTGTGTGTACACATATGGTATTCGATTATGCAATTATTCTGGAAAATTTAGAAATTATGGAAAAATCATAATCATAATCTTACCATTCTAAAATACCCAGATACTATTAATATTTGATATAATAATAAGCTTTTAGAATTTTATTCGGTCTCCTTTTCCCCTGATTGAAATGATCATATGATTTCTAAGTACATTAATGTGATGAAATATATTTATAGATTTTCTAATATTAAAACATCTGTGCATATATGAGATAAACCAAACTTAGTTGTAGTGTTTGATCTCTTTTATACATTGTTGAATTTAGTTTGCTAATATACTTTTAAGTTTTTATTTTTATATTCATGACTGATATAGACGTATGATTTTTCTCTCATAATCATTCTGTCTGGTTAAAATATCAGAGTTATACAGGTCTTGTAGAATGAGTTGGAAAGCATTTTCTCTTTTTCTATTGTTTGTATAATTTTGAGATGCTCTGCTCTTTGAAATTTTGGTAACATTCAACTGTAAAATCATCTGAGCCTAACATTTCCCTTGTGAAATATTTCTTTTTTACCACTTCTTAAATTTCTTTAATAGTTATAAAGATATTCAAGCTAATTATTTCTTAAATCTGTTCTGAAAAGTTAAATTTTCTAGGAATTGTTCTATCCCTACCCACAAAAATCTGGACCAAAAATTTATAGCTCTTCAAAGTTGTGACATCCTTTTATCTGAACTGAGAATAAGCAATGTATTTTGAGAGCACTAAAAAAGTTATTTTGGTTTGTTTTTATTTTTAATGAGGGAATTGAGAATCCCTGTAACAGGTCTAAAAATAACTGGATATATCCTGGGTATCACAAAACTTTAATCACTACTCTTGACAAACAGAAATAGGTGTGCATATTTTTTAGCTACCACTTACCACCAGAAACAGGGGCATCCATGAAAACTGCTCCCATTTTCTCAGCTTCTTTGGCCAATTCTTTTGAAACCGCAGGATCAATAGTACTTGAATCTATTAACAGTGAGCCTTTCTTCACTTTTCTAAGTAAAATAAGGAAAAATACAGTTTTTTAAAAATTATAGTTTTGTAGTTTAAAAATACAGCTTACACTGCTGAAGAAACATCTCACGCAACAACCTATAGAATCAGAATCTGCTAAAAGCTGCCAGGTATCAAGAAGTTCTTTGGTTTAGTATTAAAAACATTGTTAGAACTGGTTCAAAATCTCAAATTCGTTTTCAGATCAATTATAGCTCAAAGCAAACCCAAACTCTATCAAACAAACCCAAATAATCTAATAAACTATATGGTATAAATTCCAGTTTTAGGTGAAATACATGCTAACCATAATAACACAGGTAAGCTAAGATTTAAGCAATTCAAAATACCTATTAACTTAAAAAAAAAAGTATTTGGTAGAATTTAAATTTTTTGTTTGTAAAGTAGCTGGGTCAAAATCTTCCTAGAAAAAAAATAGCATACAAAGGCTTATAACAATTTTAGACATATAAATTGATCTGGTCCAAATACAATGACTATATATTCCACAGGAAAAAAATAAATAAAACAGCATACTCTATTATAGATCACCTTGATATGTAGAGTTTCACTTTATGTAATCTAAAAAAAACAAGAATTAAGTTGACCAGTCTTTTGTGATATTAATATTTTTAAAGATCTTAAATCTTTAAGGAAATGGGAAATTGTCTCAAAACCTATATATGCACTGGCTATGGGGAAATGACCCTGACCCGGAAGAAAAGAACCACCCATGAGAAGCAAATCACAGTTCAGTGTAAAACCAAACTCTTTCAAAGCACTTCCTCAACAGGATTGCTTGAGTAGTTGGCCACCATATTCCTTAGTAAAGGAAGTTAATAAACATAGGATTTGTCTCCACACAAGTTTTTAGTAACTTCTCCTTGAGAGGTAAAGCAGGGCCATAATTGGGACTAGGTAATAAGACAGCTTGATCACCTCAGGACCACACACACTGTGGGCCTGAGGGCTCCATCCAAAATAAGTGTCTTTCAACCTTCCCAGGAATCTAAACATTTATCTTATCAGTTTTCTGCCTAATATCCAAGTGTCTTTTGCTTACAAGTTTGTTAGTTTTCCAAAGCAATTCAATCTTCAAAAACCTCAAATTTCATGTCTTATAGCTCCATGAAATTAAACCCTTTCTTTTTAGTCCTTCATGTGCCTACAGGGCCTACTAATTTGTTCTAGCTCTTTGCTGAAATTCGACAACAAAACATGTTAGAAACAGGAACCAGTAAGTCCAGAAAACTAAATTGGGAATTCGACCACTGTCACCCTAACACGACCACAAGGGTTTGGCAACAGGCAGCAATTAACCAAAAGGTCCTCAAAACCAGGGAAGCTAGGCACTGGCTAGGAAACTCGGACCTAAATTATGTTTTATATAAAGAGCTACTGCTAACCTTTAAATCCAACTTCTCAAAGTTCTTACTACAGATGTACTAGCCCAGAGGACATACAATAACTTTTTATTATATAATAAAATGTTAAATAATGGTGTTCTTTCCAATGTTTGGTTTTATTTTTCATAGAAACCTTTTCCTGAATTTCTATAAACCATTTTATACTTGTAACATTTGTACAGTTTAAAATGCAAGCTTTAAAAGTCTCTTAAACATGTTACCAATGAAAGCATAAGTTTAATGCAAGAGTTAAAAGAAAGAAACAGAAGCAAAAAAAAAAAAAAAACTGTATTCCCAAAAGTCACATACTTGACTTCAGTGAAAAAAACAATTTTATAATGAGAGACCACGCCATTCACTTTTAAGAAAACAGTATGAAAAGTTTTAACGAACATAATTGTAATTTCTTAATAGTTCTAACAACTGAGAAATTCATGAACTGTCATAATAAGAAAATATCCACAGTTGAGAAATACATACTTTAGAATTCCATTTGCTCCAGAATAAGCTTCTATTGCATTAATACTGGTGGGCAACACTGTAATAATTCTGTCAGCTTTTTCAGCTACATCTTCTGGGGAAGACACTACCTTTAAAAAAAAAAAATCAAAAAGGCAAATAACTTAAATTAAAATGTAAGCAGTTTATAGAACACAAGTAGGATCCGCTGTTTATGCATATAGATATCAGTGACAGCGAATAAAAACTAATCCTTGTTTCTAAATGACAAAAAAAAAAAAGCTTACTGCCTAAAATAGAGGATCCATTCCTTACACACATAGAGATATAGTTTCTATGGAATCAAATCTACTGTTTATTTTAAAAAGTGTGAAGTGAGTTAAGGAGGAAAGGGCAAAACCCAACAGTCCTGGGAACAGACACACTTCTCATGGATTCCTCCAACTTGGATTCTTAAACAACATAGTTTTTGGTAGATGTTTTGACCAAGAAAAACATTCTAATACAACAGGGACTGGTGGCTGAACTATAGGATTCATCCATGATTTCAATGGGCAGCAAAATCCCCTAGTAAAATGATCAAGCCCCAATCACCACCATCCTCCAGTCTCTATTTTCAAGGGGGAAAAAATTTAGGCTGTTTCAGAAAAGAAAATGTCAGAAAAACGACACGAGCACTTCCTGCATTGACTGTGAGTGCCACCATAAAGGCTGAGAGCGTGAGCTATCAGGACTCATGTGGAAACTATACATACAGGAGAGACATAAGAAAAGACATCAAGGTATGCTCTCATTTCAACCCTCATTTCTGCTTCAGTGATGACTACAGACAGGCTACCGAGTTGTTCTACCCATCCTCTGTCTGTGTGTGTATGTATGTGTGGGTGTACGCACCTTCACTCACATTCGCCCAACGCCCTGCGCTCTCTCACATATATACACCTTGCTTCACCTGGCCAGTAAGCAACCAGAGAAGTCAGAAATCACGAGGAGCTCACTCCTTGACTCAAACTCTCCTTTAACAGAAAGAATCTATCACCCCAATTGTGACGAATGCTCCTGTAAAGCTTTTTCTCTTAAAAAAAAAAAAATCATTCCCCCATGTGGCGAAAGTCCCCTTAAAAGTTTTTTTTTTAAAAAAAAAAAAAAAAAAAAAAAAAAAGACTATCAGGAAGATAATCGAAGATTTCTCCATAGAATGATTGACATGTGTATTAGAAATTGACATATTTTCTACTACGAAATGTGAAGTGACATGTAAGCATCTTTGGAATGAGAATGCCTTCACTTTTCATGTGGTGGAAGTATGTATACCATTTTCTTTTTGCCTTTGATGTACAGTTGATGAAAGTGAAAGAATGAGAAGCCAAACAGAGTGTAATCTAAATATTATGAGCTAGAAGTAATTACATTTCAATTATCCACAACAGACTACCAGCTTCTAAATCAAATTCGAGATAAATAAATATGGTTCTAACATAATTTCATATGTTAAAACTGCAGACACTCATGTATCCTAGCACTTTGTTATTAACATTAAATGATAATATAAAACATCTCAGATCCTAAAATAAAACAAATAAGAGATATTCTCTCTCAGTGTTTCATAATACAGCATTTTAGAGTCTACAATGTGGCATATTTAACATGTATATTTTGATATATAACGGGAATTCTCCACAAATAATTCTGGAAAAAAAATTTCTGTCCAATTACAAAGAAATACTTAGATTAAATAAAAACCTTTCCTACACCCATATAAATACTGAGTTTCAAGAAGAGGCTACTATTTCCTGGCAAACAGTTCAAGTTTAATCAAGAAAAACACAGCTCAGTAAGATGAAGAGATAAGGAAAAATTATAGGAGTCCTAGTTCTCTACTGGACTGTATCAAGAATACGGGTTCCTTAGAGAGCCCCATCTGTTCATCCCTATTTAAATGAAGTAATAAACACAATGCAAAACAGTAGCAAATCTTTCGTTGGCCTTCTATTCCAATTCCATCTCTCCAGATCTCTCAGGGGCTGCAGTAAACCCTGAGGTCTGAGAGTTACTTTCAGTCTTTCTCTTGGGAATTGAGAAAGGCTCTTCCATTGAAGGAAATTCAATTCCATCCAGATGACTACTCGAGAGGTGCCCTGAGGGGCACCAACAATTAGCTCACAGATCTAAGGATACTTCACACCTCTAAGCTTCTCATGCCCATGAATTGGCACTGCCAGTTCATGCAACAGCCAAGTGCACGGGGTGGCCTATCAGCCCCCTGCTTCCCGAGCATCTGCTTCTTGGAAAGCTTGGGTTGCCAGAGGACCGCTAACCCCTCAATTATACAGGACAGTAGTGTCAAAGCTCACAGGCCCGGAAAATACACACAATGATAGTGATAGCTGGAATGTCACCACTGTACTGGCCACAACTGCTCCATATCTAATAATTATATACATTTGGTACAGTATAATAAGTCTCTAAGCACTACAGAAGGCATGTTTGTTAGACAGATAGACAGACGTGTGTCCAGCTAGTCAAATCACCTTGCCTTCCACGTGATAACTTCAAGACTCTAAAACAACTGACTGACAAGATTTGGCCAAGACTCAAAAGCTGGGGCAGGGAACCTTGTTGCCTGTCTGACATTAACCACAAAAGCCTTTAGGAGCCAAACTAATTAGAGGCCCTTCAATTACATTTGCTAATTGAATGGATAAGCAAAGACAGCATGGATCAGTGAAAGGAACACTAATTTGGGAAGCCACAGACCCAGATCTAGTTACAGCTCAGCCACTAAGTCATGTGTGATTTTGTGCAAATTACTTAACCTCTCTGGCTTCAGTTTCTGAATTTACAAAATAAGAATAGTGATTTGGGTTTTCTTTAAGAGTTTCTATCTCCAAACAGAAAGGAAATTTTGGCAAAGAAAATTTTCACGTTTAGTACCCTTAAGTTTTAGGAAGGTATAGTCTCCGTGGAAAAGGGCTGACAGGACAAGAAACATGTGCAATGACTCAGCAGAAACACACAGCATCAACAGGCATCTTCTACACCTCCACATCTGTGGACGGTCGCTGACCTGGCTGACTCTGCATGGCTCTGCTCTGACCATCACGGCCATTTCAAAAAGACCTCTTGCTAATTCTAACTGTCTCATTCTTATGCTATTATGAATTAAGATGAATCTACCTTTCCATTACTTCAATTTTGACCAAAGGAGATTGGTTCCCTTGGGTATCACGATATCTATGGTTTTTAAAAGTTTTTGCAGTCAATTTCTCTGAATTTAGATTAATCTAAATGCTGGCACACATCAATGGCAGGTGTGCAATACAAAGAGTAGAAGACTGGATAGATTAAACACAAAATCTGCTTTGCTGGATGAGAAGGAGGAAGGATGGGGGCATCGGAGCCCACAGTAATCTGAAGTAATTGAACCTCCTTTATACATATCCATTGGAAGGAGACAACTGTTAACTAGTTGCTTTATATAAAGAGAAACATCCCACTTGTCTCTACAGTCACACAAATCAAGCTTAGCCCTGCTTCCAAGTAATTGGGTAAGAGAAACTTGCAAAGAAACGAGATGAACATGACCCTGGTTCAACTTGCTACTTGGTGTTCTTTAATCTTTCCAAGTAGAAAAGTATACTGTCACTTCAAAATTATACTACACTTGAAAAACTGACAAAAAACAGTTTGTGCCTACATCTTGAAACATTTGGTCAACAATGATGGAGGCTACTTCAGCAAGAGGTTTTCAAAGTTCTCATTTAACAAGACGTGAAGGGATGCCAGATTAGACCCCAAGGGAATTACTTAACCAGACATGCTCAGCCTTACAATCGAGGAATGATGGGGTGGCTTCCAAGTTTTTAAAGAGAAAACAAAAGAAAGTCTCAAATTAAGCCTAGTTCAACCAGAAAACTCAGGCAGAAATGGTGCAAGACTCTCAGCAGAGCAGCTGCATCTCCAAAGAAATTCCTGGACAATAAAAATAAAAATGAAGCCCAAGTCACATGCCCTTGATGGTACCGCTTATGAAGAGAAATCGGTATCTTCTGCAAAATAAAAGTGAGGTGGAAGGGATGGTACAGAATATATTAAGCAGGGATGCTGTCAAATCATCATCATCTAGTTTGGTTTTAATTTGTATCATCATTCTTTCATTTTAAAATGTCTATAATTCTCTTCCAAAGCATTCTGGACTCAGTGACTCGGCCAAGGCAGTCGTATGTTTCTATGTTAGGAGTGATGACTGGGGTGAAATGTGGTACACACAAAAACCTTAAGAACGGTAGTAATAGTAGTAATAGCAGTTATAGCACTTTCTATGCGTCAAGTTCCCTAGGACTAAGAGCAAGGTACTATTATTATCCCCACTTTATAAGATGAGAAAATTTAAACAGAGGTGAAATAATCTGTCTGAAGTCACACAGCCAGTACATGGTAGAGCTCAGAATTGAACCCAGGCAGTCTGGTTCCAGGCTTTATGTTTTTAAACTACTACATTCACCATTTATTGATTTGTGATTTCTAATATATAAAGGCTTGATAATGGGTTACATTCTCAGAAAAGATGTTAAAATTTGAAATGATACATTATAGGTTAAATCTCAGTTTTCAATAGAAATAAGGATATAATAAAGAGATACTGAAAGAATACCCAAACTTTTTATGGAAATGACCACAAATAACATATTTCACCAATTATAAATGCCCTATTAAGAATAGGTTAACACTTAAAGCCATAAATATGTTAGTTAAATACAACCAGTCACTGTAAAACATATTTAACATGTCGAAGTTTTATTACATATACATATATATTTATTTATTTATTTATTTATTTATTTTTGGCAAGGCAACCCTTTGTTGACCTCATAGATTGCAATGACCTTGTCAGCTTACAACTCCTTAGTATTATTATTTTTTTTTTATGACTACAGTGCCTGGTCTTCCTAGGTGGTCTCCCATCCAAGTACTAACCAGGCCCAACCCTGCTTAGCACCCAAAATTAGATGGAATCAGGCTTGTTCTGGGTGGCATGACTGTAGACTTAACACGTCAAAGTTTTTATTCCCTTCAGAACCCATGTAGTATTTTTCCCTACTAGCTAGAGCTTGAAGAAAAATCTCCAGGGCTGGAAGATTCCAAAGCACCTCTTCACCCTGTAGCCGACTTGCACGTGGAGGGGAGGGAGGAGCCTGAGAAAAGCAGAGCCTTGGCAGACAGAAAGCAAGCTGCTTACATCTGCCAAAAACGCAGCTGTGCCTGGGTTCAGATCACTCCCAACTCTTCAGTTATGAGACAATAAATCCTCAGTATTTGCTTTTAAAAAAAGAAAAAGAACTTCATCAAGATGTCCAAAGTTCTTTAGAACCAGTTGATGGCTTTTTGACCCAAACATGCCTCTCTGGTACTATCTCTCCTTGAAAATGTCCCACTAAAAACACAGTAGACATTAGAAATCAGCCAGCCAGGGGTTCTGCCATCTTTGGGAGGAAAAAAAAAATGTTTTCTTCAGCATCCTTGACATAGTAATATTAGGGGGACATCTGTCCTTAAAATGTAAGTATCAAACTCAAATAAATTCTGAATTTTTGAACACTTACTCCTTTTATTACACTATTATGCACAATGGAAAGAAGTTTCAAAGTTTTCACCTACATTTTTCTACTCCATCCCACACCTCGTCTTCACCTGGTAGTAGTAGGATGAAACTCATTTTTTCTTTTATCCAACATTTTTTAAAACTAAATATAACCATGAAATAATACTGATGTTTTAATATATCAGGATTTATTCATCCAAATTAATGTTATCTTTTAAGACAGTGCTCTTAGGAAATCCCACTTGTTCAAATGACATTGCCACTTTTTGGAATGTTTAAGCTGCCAGCATAAACAGTTTATCAACAAACTTTTCAGTTTATTAGGACATGATACTTCCCTTCAGGCCCAAAGTTTTTTACCCTTTATCCTTCTCCCTTCATTCATCTAAGTTTCACATTCTCCTACTCTCCACTTCTGTTATTATAATCAGTGCTCAGAGGGCCTCTTAAAGTCAGAGATGTGAGGGAGGTGGGATGTGGGAAAAAGGGTTCTGCCTCCCAGGCTTGCTGCTTCAGTGTGAACCACACACAAAACTTTTCCCAAGGGTGAGAAGTGCAGACACAAGCTAAAACAAGTCTTCATTCTTCACCAACTTGGGAAGGGCAACTACCCAGAACCCACTCACATATCTCAAGGAAAAGGGGGAAAGAGGAAAATCTAATAACTGAGTCTGTGTCCTAGAACCTTCTTTATTTTCAGGAATCTGAGAGATCTTGTCTCCACGACTTTCATTTCAGACCATCATTTGTTTGCAGGTGAGCAAAGATTATACACAATATTGATGTAGCTCCCTACCATAAATGAAATGACTTTCAACAGTTACTTATTTTTCCCTCCTCAAAAACCATTTCAGCATTTTATTATAGTCAAAATACAATTTCAGTAGAAATTTCCTTGTAATATTTAGTCTTGCCACATCTGGCTCAAACTGTTTTATTCTCCACAGCACTAGGTGGACTTCTGGACACATGGTACTTACTCAACCTATACCTGTTGACCTAAGTAAATATCTCTAGAGGCTTCCACTTTTAAAGAAAATTTCTTCTTAATCCCTGTTCTTCATCTGGATAAAGGCTTTTTATTCTGATATCTGGCTAAATGTCTTTAGGGAGAACTTCCCTAACTGCCTTCTCACCTAATATAATGCACATTTTACTAAAAACTGATGAAACTCTTTTTCCTTAGACTTACCACAATTTGTAAGCTTTGCTGAACTGGTGGTACAGTATCAGTATTCAGAGACTGTGTGGGTATAAGCAGCCACAACACTATTCTGAAAAGTTCCAAGATGATACGCATATCCTCATACACACTGCTGCCATGCCCATGTGACATGCCCATGGGATGGAAGGAGTTAGAGAAGACTCGGTTCTGAAAATGGCCTCTAAGTTGCCTAAACCTGCTCTTTACGTAGGCATTGCATTTCTCAGTATTTATCTCAAGTCTATAATCCAGAAGTTTACTGTTTGATTTTTTCTCACCTTTTTCTATATTTCTCAGGAATTTTTAGTATTCTCCCAGTTCTAAAATTACATTCAACTCTCAGATACCACTCTACAACTTGTACAAGAATTTCCTTCATCTCAAAAAAACAAAACTCTAAATTCAATTATTAATACATGGTCTCATATATATTATGTATATAATAAGATACTATATATATATTTATATATATGTAATTTACAATTAGGTTTATAACTTCATTGGGTATGCTCTCTAAGAAGCTGTCACTTATTTGAATGTATATTCATTTTTAAACATCAAAATTTTAAGAAAAGACCTTACCTGTTCACCTGCATCTTGAAACTCTTTGCATGCATCAGGAAACACATCATAAATAATGAGTGGATAGCCATGTTTCATGAGATTTTTTGCCATTGGATTCCCCATGTTGCCTAATCCAACAAATCCAACTGGAGTCTTTGAGGCCATTGACCTAGAACACACTGATTTCAATGCATTACTTTCAACAGGAGCAGGTAGCATTTTTTACTGTGAACACTCATTTGACATTAGTAAGTCAACCGTTATTTTTTTCTACCCATCTCCCCACCCTCTCCCCTTTTGCAACTATCAACTTGTTCTCTGTATCTGTGGGTTGGTTTAGTGAACTGATCTTTAGATGTTTTCTATTTTTAAAATATTGAAAGGCTAGTTTTAAACGAATGACCTAATCATATTTAAGGATGTCAACAATGTGCAGCAGACTAACTTTCAATTATTTAGTTCTCCAGGAAAAAAATCATAAATATTTAAGCAATCTCTTCTGTTTTCTACCTCTAGAATATCCCTTTACCATAAACAATAAACTTTAAAATGTTATCATTTATAAAATATCTATTATGTACTTTACCTATTATGTGACATATTCTATATTCCTCATATCTGTATTATCTTCTTTAATAATATGTATTTAAAAAGCTGAAAGTATTCAATAAAACCTCTATCTTGGACAAGGTCCATGAATAGAAAAGTTTTTTACCTTCCACCTCCACATTTATAGAAACCATCACCTCCAATGGTATAAAAACGAAAACAAAAACAATCTTAATACAATGTTAACCCAGGAGAATGTGTTTCAACCAAAAGTCACCAGTTTATAAATGCGGTTTTAGGAGGAGGGAGACACTTCCACAGGCTTTACATGACAAGAGTAACAATCTCAGGACCTTGGGCTAGCAACCTCATGCACTTTCAGAAAAGAGGCACTTCCATTTACAAGGGGAAAAAAATCGTTCCTAAAAAAAGCTGTATACTGGTTTTATTGGATTTTCTTCTTTTTTGCAAAAGGCTTTTTGAAATCACACTGTAGGCTTTGCATTACCATGAAAATAACATTAGATAATATTTCTGTTTCTAGATGTAGAACTCCATTCAACAAATATGTATTGCATGAAGTCCTATGACAGAGCTCAGAGACATAAGCGAGTTATGAGCCTCGCCCTCAAAAAGCTCAGTCTAGTGAGAAGAGCAGTAGCTCCACTTGCCTCTTCCCCTATCACTTCCCCCGTATATATTTTCTTTTTCTTTCAAGAACTCCAGTTTTAAAACCATGCAGTGCACCAACTAACCATTGTCACTCTTTTTAAGTTTCAGGTCTTCTCAACTCATGGGTCCCTATTCTTCCTTGAACTTAGTCTAAATGCAATGAGATTTCCTAAAAGCAAATTATTTGAAACCCTAATGCTTAATAGGGCTCTTCTTGTGCACGCGTGCGCGCGCGCACACACCCACACACACACACACACACTCAAAAATCAAAAAAAATTTTTAAAAGCATATTTCTTTTTAACTTGATCACCTCTAACATTTCCATTAAATATGGGTGTTATTCTCGTGCCACATCACCTTACTAGCGCTTAGTTTAACAGACTGGGCCATGCCATCCTGAACGTGCCCAATCTCATCCGATCTCGGAAGCTAAGCAGGGTCAGGCCTGGTTAGTACTTGAATGGGAGTCCACCTAGGAAGACCAGGTGCTTGTAGGCGTTTTACATACTGGGTATATAACAGAAGTCCTGTGTCTGACTTTCTAGTCCACAAGAAGCTCAATGATGGTCAATGATGATGATTCTTGGTCAGTAGAACAAGAATCAGAGGAGGGTTGTACCAACCAGAAGACTATAGTAGCTTCGGAAATGTTGACAGTCTAGCAATTTCTGGTGATGAGATCTCAGAAGAGCTGAAGTAGAGCGCTGACATCATTTGCTAAAGTTGAGGTCAAAAATAATAAGGCTCAGATTCTGGATGGGCCAATATGAAAATCAATGAAGATAAAATCTTTAATGAAAAGCTCAGTTCTCTTCATTTCATCTTTGCTTGTGGCAAAGTTAGAAAAAGGGTAGTATAATTAAATAAATCCGATGTCAGAAAAGAGGTTATTTACTGACGGTGATAATATTTAAGAATTTCTCTGAATTTAAAAGACCTAGATTCCTAACCAGGCGAGGTCAATTCTTAGATGTACACCCTTGAACTAACAAGTTACTTAACTTCTCTAGACATTTTTATCAGCAAGAGTAACTAGTTTAGAAGACTACTCGAGATAATACAAGTAAAGTATTAAACAGTGCATGACACGTGATAGTCAATAAGTATTTCCTATTTTTACTATCAAAAAGTAGCACTGGGGCACAAGTCCTATGCCAAATGCCACTTTTTTGCTTAGCAGGTTAGAAGAGCCAGGGTGTTAGAAGAGAGAAAGGCTTCTTTAGGTGAATGCCCTGTATCCGAGGAAATACAGCTTTTAGTTAAGGTGATGCATCAGAAAGCATGCTTGCATAATATAGAAGAATATGCTCCTATAAGGGTGAAAATTCAAATGAGTATAATAAAATCATTACCCTAAACACTTTTCAAACTTCAATAATGCATCTTCCTTTAAGTCACATACATCAACATGTATAAATAGTAGAGTTTGACCAGAACTAAAATCAAGATGGCAGAAAGTCAACACAATACAAAGGTGACATTGATTGATAAAGAAACTAGTTAGAAAATTTGACAAAGTTAGTCTCTAAAATTACAGATTTACAGATTATGTCCTCTTTCTAGAATGGGACATGGGTAAAGTTATCCATATTGTAGTATCATTAAGTGCTACCAAAAATAAGGCTCTTCTAAGTTTCAAAATGCAAAAATTGGTAATAGGTTAAACATTTTACATTTCCAAAGATTTTCTTCCTTAATCAAAGCAATGCATTTCATTGTAGAAAACAGGAAAATACAAAAAAGTATAAAATCATAGGGAAAAGTTAATCTCACTACACAAAAATAACCAGTCTTTTGAATGCATTCTTTTCATTACATTATGAGATTCTATTGTAAGATACTTTTTATCCTCTCTTATCATGAAACATTCTATTTTCTTAATATTAAGAGTTACTAAACTAAGGGTGGTGACTTACTCTATAAAGGCCTTTATTGTTTGAGTCAAGTTATTTTAGAAATAAATATATTTCACAAGGTTAAGGTCAATTTTTGGTCTCAGGGTCATGTGCATCTTTTCAGAGCTTCAACCCTAGAAGCCTATGTAAAGGGGGAAAAAAATACCATTACACATTTTATTTATGCTATGTGTTGTTTTGAAAGGAGATTTCTTACACATGAAAAAGGCCAATAAAAAAGTTTTATTCTCATTTCTGTACATAATGTTGGTTAATTTTCCAATTCCACCTTTGATCAAGTGGTCACGTTAAGATATGATACAAAGTATTATTCCACATACATGTTAGTGAGTCACAATGACTGTAGAGGGCCTAATCTGTAAATTTTATCTGTATAAAGAAGTCTGAAATTAAATTTAATTATCTTCTAAGATAAGCTATAAAACTTACTTTCATTAAATGATGAAATAGTAATATATGTATAGTTTAATACTGATCATTTTTCTAATTCTTTTTTGATGCTTTTAAATATTTTAAAATTAAGATGTGCTATTAACTGGCAACTTTCAGTTCTTTTTTTAAATAGTAAATAACTATGTGGATCTTTATGATAGAAATATCTTATACTATGGAGACAAACAGCCCACAGAATTCAGAACACTGATATTACTATTTGAACATGGTTCTTTTGCTCTAGACTCCAAACTTGCACATAGACTTTTTTTTAACTCTAATGCCAAAAAAGTTAACACTTCTGTAGTAAACTAATATTAACAGAAACATTTAAAACAATTCCATAGTAAAAACAATTCAAGTGTTTTAGATAATCATCACAAAAAAGAACTGTTTAAAATTTATCATAAATCTACATTCATACAATATCTTTGGGTCAAAGAACCTAGAGAAGATTACATGCCAAAGCAATCTAACCAGCATTGTGGAACAACATTCCAGCTTACATAGGCAACTATTACAGCCTTGGGCTTCATACTCTTCTATCATGAATTGTAAGAACTTTCAAAACTCTAAAGGGTGAATCAAAAGTTCATTATAATATCATTCGATCACCTTGTAAAACCTCTAAACAGCACATATGTCTTCCTTGGTTAATCAAAACGGAAAGAATTGCACATTCATGTGAAAACTGGTGCCACACTACTGTGGAAAAGTGACTGATCAATTTTAAAGTATCTCCGACGAGGCATTTTCCTCGCTCAAGAAATGTAGCTCAAACAATGGTTAGTTACACTTTTAGCAGTTTCTGTGAGTTTGTATCCTGTTACTGTGATTAACAGACATCTGTTCTCTTGCATCACAGGGGGACATAAGTTTCAGCTGTATATTTTAACAGTAGGGCGCATATATATTGACATTGTGTGTTCACCTTCCATAGTTAGATTTCTTTCTTGTCACCACATATTTGACCCCTTTTATCCCATCTACCTACCCCCTCATCTGTTCTCCTGCATCACAGGGAGCCTGGCCTTCCCAAGCCAGAGAGGAAATTCACTCTTCTGCTTAGCTTTTACTGAGAGGGAGGAAGGGGGCTGTTAAAATTTCTCTGAATTTAAAAGACCTAGATTCCTAACCAGGCGAGGTCAATTCTTAGATGTACACCCTTGAACTAACAAGTTACTTAACTTCTCTAGACATTTTTATCAGCAAGAGTAACTAGTTTAGAAGACTACTCGAGATAATACAAGTAAAGTATTAAACAGTGCATGACACGTGATAGTCAATAAGTATTTCCTATTTTTACTATCAAAAAGTAGCACTGGGGCACAAGTCCTATGCCAAATGCCACTTTTTTGCTTAGCAGGTTAGAAGAGCCAGGGTGTTAGAAGAGAGAAAGGCTTCTTTAGGTGAATGCCCTGTATCCGAGGAAATACAGCTTTTAGTTAAGGTGATGCATCAGAAAGCATGCTTGCATAATATAGAAGAATATGCTCCTATAAGGGTGAAAATTCAAATGAGTATAATAAAATCATTACCCTAAACACTTTTCAAACTTCAATAATGCATCTTCCTTTAAGTCACATACATCAACATGTATAAATAGTAGAGTTTGACCAGAACTAAAATCAAGATGGCAGAAAGTCAACACAATACAAAGGTGACATTGATTGATAAAGAAACTAGTTAGAAAATTTGACAAAGTTAGTCTCTAAAATTACAGATTTACAGATTATGTCCTCTTTCTAGAATGGGACATGGGTAAAGTTATCCATATTGTAGTATCATTAAGTGCTACCAAAAATAAGGCTCTTCTAAGTTTCAAAATGCAAAAATTGGTAATAGGTTAAACATTTTACATTTCCAAAGATTTTCTTCCTTAATCAAAGCAATGCATTTCATTGTAGAAAACAGGAAAATACAAAAAAGTATAAAATCATAGGGAAAAGTTAATCTCACTACACAAAAATAACCAGTCTTTTGAATGCATTCTTTTCATTACATTATGAGATTCTATTGTAAGATACTTTTTATCCTCTCTTATCATGAAACATTCTATTTTCTTAATATTAAGAGTTACTAAACTAAGGGTGGTGACTTACTCTATAAAGGCCTTTATTGTTTGAGTCAAGTTATTTTAGAAATAAATATATTTCACAAGGTTAAGGTCAATTTTTGGTCTCAGGGTCATGTGCATCTTTTCAGAGCTTCAACCCTAGAAGCCTATGTAAAGGGGGAAAAAAATACCATTACACATTTTATTTATGCTATGTGTTGTTTTGAAAGGAGATTTCTTACACATGAAAAAGGCCAATAAAAAAGTTTTATTCTCATTTCTGTACATAATGTTGGTTAATTTTCCAATTCCACCTTTGATCAAGTGGTCACGTTAAGATATGATACAAAGTATTATTCCACATACATGTTAGTGAGTCACAATGACTGTAGAGGGCCTAATCTGTAAATTTTATCTGTATAAAGAAGTCTGAAATTAAATTTAATTATCTTCTAAGATAAGCTATAAAACTTACTTTCATTAAATGATGAAATAGTAATATATGTATAGTTTAATACTGATCATTTTTCTAATTCTTTTTTGATGCTTTTAAATATTTTAAAATTAAGATGTGCTATTAACTGGCAACTTTCAGTTCTTTTTTTAAATAGTAAATAACTATGTGGATCTTTATGATAGAAATATCTTATACTATGGAGACAAACAGCCCACAGAATTCAGAACACTGATATTACTATTTGAACATGGTTCTTTTGCTCTAGACTCCAAACTTGCACATAGACTTTTTTTTAACTCTAATGCCAAAAAAGTTAACACTTCTGTAGTAAACTAATATTAACAGAAACATTTAAAACAATTCCATAGTAAAAACAATTCAAGTGTTTTAGATAATCATCACAAAAAAGAACTGTTTAAAATTTATCATAAATCTACATTCATACAATATCTTTGGGTCAAAGAACCTAGAGAAGATTACATGCCAAAGCAATCTAACCAGCATTGTGGAACAACATTCCAGCTTACATAGGCAACTATTACAGCCTTGGGCTTCATACTCTTCTATCATGAATTGTAAGAACTTTCAAAACTCTAAAGGGTGAATCAAAAGTTCATTATAATATCATTCGATCACCTTGTAAAACCTCTAAACAGCACATATGTCTTCCTTGGTTAATCAAAACGGAAAGAATTGCACATTCATGTGAAAACTGGTGCCACACTACTGTGGAAAAGTGACTGATCAATTTTAAAGTATCTCCGACGAGGCATTTTCCTCGCTCAAGAAATGTAGCTCAAACAATGGTTAGTTACACTTTTAGCAGTTTCTGTGAGTTTGTATCCTGTTACTGTGATTAACAGACATCTGTTCTCTTGCATCACAGGGGGACATAAGTTTCAGCTGTATATTTTAACAGTAGGGCGCATATATATTGACATTGTGTGTTCACCTTCCATAGTTAGATTTCTTTCTTGTCACCACATATTTGACCCCTTTTATCCCATCTACCTACCCCCTCATCTGTTCTCCTGCATCACAGGGAGCCTGGCCTTCCCAAGCCAGAGAGGAAATTCACTCTTCTGCTTAGCTTTTACTGAGAGGGAGGAAGGGGGCTGTTAAGAACTCAATTCTCCACCCGCTGTTTTTTTAAGCAAAGATTTTTTTTCATTCCAAGGCTTTTTTTTTTTTTTAATCCTGAGAATGCTTTTGCTAAACAGTGCACTGTTGCAACTCTCAAACTTTTAGAGGAAGACAATGGGAGTGTACCCACAAATCAACCAATTTTCCAGTTAAAGAGGAATCCTGGTAGAAGGTGCAGGAATTAGGAAGAATCAGGGACTAACTTTCTAGATCCTTCTGGGATACCCCAATTCACTTGCCCAAGGGGCCTCGAGTTGTTCATTTGAAAAATGAAAAAGATTAGATCCCTGTGGATCCAAAAACTCTCCCTTCCTAAACGATAACCTATAATGGTAATGGGGTGAGGGAGGGAGGGTAGCTTCAGGTCACAATTTTGAGGACGTTTTAAGTGGTGTGGTTAATTAGTGAGAAAAGTGACATCTTCAAGTAGCACAGGTACAATGTAAAGGGGAGAGGAAGCCCGCCTTGAGGGTCAAGGATGACTTCAAACTCTGCTGGAATGACTTATCACTTGGTTTGTATTGACATCACTTGTGTAAAACCATCTTGTACGATTATGGTGGTTAAAAAAAAAAATTCGGCCCTGTAGTGAGGGCGCGCCCACCCACGGTGCACCCTAAGGACGCTGAAAGGCCAGCGCTTCGAGGCCAGGGGTCGCTGGGATGGGTGCGAGATCACTCAGGGTGTACCCTGAGGCTGGGCCCTCCACTTGTCCTCGCACCCCTAACTAACTCCAAAGAAGCACGCCCCGAACCCCAATAGTCCTCCCTTTACCCCAAGGTCTTCCCAGCCCTACCTAAGTTCCGAAAAGGGCGCTGACCGCCATTCATCTGGATCCGGGGCGAAGGTATTGGGGGGACGCACTAGTGTCGTGAGCGGCAGCCGCAGGAGACGCCAGGCCTTGGGACCAGCCAAAATGTTGGGTTCTAAGCCCCGACCCAACCGCAGCGCCTCCCATAAAAAAGACCTGTTCAGCCGTCACAGCGCGAGAAGCGGGCGGCCGGAGGAAGGACGGGGGAAGAAGGCGCGAGGTCCTTACCCGCTGCAAGGCTGGCCGCTGCCGGCCGCTGCCCGCGGCGCCAGTACCAGAGGCCGCAGGCGGCTCCACGGAGCCGTAAGGAGGCTGCCATGCTGCCCCCGCCCCGCCTCCCCGCAGTGACCTCCGCCGCTCCCGGCTCGCCCACTGACCGCGCGTGTGCGCAGCGAGGCAGGGAGGCACCGGTACGGCACGGCAATGCGCCGCGCGCGCGCACGCTCGGCCTTTCGGCGAGGATCCGCCTGGCGGCACAGGGGCCGTCAATCGCCTTATGGACAGGAAGCCGACCAATCAGGACTCCCAGGTCCTCTGCCCTTCACGAACCACCAATAGGAGGCGTCTCGAATCCGCTTATCAGGCGCCCTGGACCCGCCCCCAAGCTCCGCCCCCGTGTGCAGACTGCCAGAGAGATCCTCCTTGTTTACCAAAACGCAGGGGGCGTGTGGGAGGCAGGGGCTGTCACTCATTGCAGCCTTCTCCGAGCACCTGACCACCCTCCCCCCTCAGGACCGCCCCCTCGGAGGGTTTAACTGCGTGTGTTCCACGCCTCCCCCCCGCAAGCAAGTACTAAACTTTGACTTACAGCTACTGCTGCAATTTTTAGGCGGGAGAAGAAATTCCCAAATTTTCTAAGTATGAGACCTGTTTTTAACTTCAGTAGTACGTGGGTCTCCTAATGTTAGCATTTGTATTGTTAGTGTCTGTTCATTGACAAACAATCAAAATTCTACCGTAAATGCAATAACTTTTAAATTCAATCTATTTTATGTAATGCAATAGTTTCTTCAGAAATTTGAAAAATAGGAAAACAAATTGGTAACATTGTTCTCGTTGAAGGGTAGAATTACTAGGAACTTACACTCTCTATTCCCGTATATATCCAGTACATATTTCTCTAATGTTCGAAAATTCTGATCCGTTAGTTCGAAAACTAAACGCAAATGAAAGTCTAGGAAGTATATATGTGTGTATGTCAGAGAGATTTATTCATTCTTCTGTCTGTGTTCAATTTACATATTTGAATCCCAACTCTTGGCGATAATTGCAGGACTTCCCATTCCCACTGACCCCATCAAAGGGTGGGAGCTATGGAGACACCAAAGCAAGACTTGGAAGCCTTTTCAGAAGGGTAGTAAAACAGAAAAGAGAGTGAAGAGTGGCTAGGACAATAGGAACCCTAGGGAACCCACCCCACCCCAGTCAAAATTCATTTTATTTATTCATTTGCTTAGGTTGTGCTCACCTAACCTTTTAATCTAAGTAGTAGAATCAACAGATTTGATTTTGACCCTTTTTTCTCTAACTAGTCACTTAGGAAGTTGGAAGTGCCTACAGGAAAAAAAAAAAAAATCGAATAATTTCCAAGCAGGCTATCTCTGTGCTGGGCGTGCTGGCAGTGTTTCCAGGAGCTGGTACAGAGTGCAAAGCTCCTATTTGTAACTGGTACAAAAGCAATTCCCTTGTTTGGCTGTGTCTCCGCCTGAATGCTCTACTCCACACCAACCAAAAAGAAAGATGAAAGGGAAGAAAAAATATCATTTTCACTATTGGGACAGTCTCCTAGATTTGGTTCCCCACCCAGATCCATTTATTAGTTTCTGGAGCATTTTCTACCTGACCCTCTCTTCCTGGTTTATTTAGGTTTTAACTGAAATAGACCGGCAAGCAATAAATGTAGCTCTCCCGAAAGGTTTCTGTAATTAACTGCTGAAATGCCACCTGCCTTTCAACTATGTCAACCTACACAGCAGAGCTATTACAACACAAGACAACATATCAATTGATCTCCCAGCTCCTAAAGTTTATATCCCCGTCGTCCTGAGATTTTATATCCAATCAGATTGTTTTTGTCATTTTTATTGTGAGCTACTGTTTTTGTTTCTCTAGGTTGTTTATAGGGCTCTTTTCTTGAAAATTAGTATTGCTTTAGAAAATGCTGCCTCTTATGAAGTGTTCTCTTAGGACTCCAAGGGGAAGGAAAAGGAAGAACTCAAAAAGAAGAAAGAGTAGGCAGAACTAAAGCTGGGCATGAGATCTTTTTAATTTTCTCTCTCTCTCTCTCTCTCCCCCTCCCTCCCCCCGCTTTACTGATGTGATTGCTTTGAAAAGGGAGTAAACAGCATTGAAAGTTTGATTCTATTTGCTCAACCAGGACCAGGGGAAAAGTCACAATTTCTCCATATCCCTACATCACACATCATCTTAATATCTTCTCAGAAGCCCTATATTGACTTGTAAATTAAGGGTCTGAGATTTTCATAGTTTATCATAAGCATTATGATTTTTAAGTAATTATTACTATTCGAAGGTGCTTGCAGATATTGTATGTGCAAAGGCAGTTACTGCCAATGGTTGGCTTTATTTGATTGTCTTCCTAATATCTTTGTTTGAAAGGCACTGCAACTTCTCTCTAAGTCTGTGCCACTAGTTTTGATTGAAATTGTGTCTCAGTACATTATATATTTTAATTTCTAGTTAACAATTAGAGTTGACGTTCAATCTTATTTTCTATTAGTTTCAGGTATACAGCATAGTAGTTAGTCATAAAGTGATCCCCCCAATTAGTCTAGTTCCCACCTAGCACTATACATAGTTATTACAGTAGTATTGACTATATTAATGCATTATAGTCTCTTCACTTCTGCTTCTGGCAAAATAGAATAGATATATTTTTCTTTATCCCTCCCAATAAGTACAACTAAAAACTCTGGACATTGCATATAAAGCAGGAGGAGAAAAGAAGGCATACCAGCTAGATACCTCAGGACCAAAAGAAGAACACAGTGGTAAGTTCTTGGGTTTTCATTTAGCCTTATATTCCCATACTGGGTACTAGAGAAGCTGAAAACTGGAAACCCCAAAATGCCTAGAGGCACAGACAAACATGCCTCAGGAAAAGGCTATTCTCTCCAGCCAAAGACGAAAAAGGGGCAGCCTACCAAGACAGATGACTTTTAGAAAATAATCACTCTAGACAGATACAACACAATCAAAACCTATGGCCCCACACCCACCATGCCAGCAAAGGCTGAGTGAGAAGCCTAGATCTGCACATCAACCAGGCTATAATGAGATACCCCAACATCCTAACACCCCAAACTCCTACTCCTTAACCCCGCTGGTGTTAGAGAGCCAGGACTTTTATCCTCGCTGCTCGTGGTCGTGAGTACCCATCTACACACGTGCTGAACCCCCATCCTTAAGGTGTCATTGGAGATCAGACAGGGAGCCTGGACATCCACCCTGCCTGACAGTAACGAGACACGCCTCCCTCTCCCTGCTGGGCTGGAATCAGAGGAGGGGCCTAGTGGAGAGTCCTCAGGACTTTCACCACTGTCCAGTGTTAAGGAGGCCACCCCTCCCCACAATGGTGCCGGGCCACATGAAGAACAGTAACCCCTACCTGGCATTAACAGAAATGGTGCTCCCTCCGTTCCCTCCCTTGCCAGAGCAGTGTCAGGAAAAGGCAGCTAAAATAGACAGTTTAAATAAGATCCAGAGAGGCATAGTACCCGAAATATCCATGTTTTAATAGAAAATCATTCATCACACCAAGAACCAGGAATATCTCTAAATGGACCAAAAAAAAAAAAAAAAAAGTCAGTACCAAGGTGACAGAGAAGTTAAAATTATCCAAGATTTTAAAGCAGCCATCAGAAATAAGTTTTAATGAGCAATTAGAACACACTTAAGTGAAAAAAAAAAAATCTCAGCAAAGAAACAAAAGATATAAAGAAGAAATAACTAGAAATGTTAGAACTGAACAGTCTTTTGAGAAGTCTACATCATCTGCTAGTTTTCCATGTACTGTTAGCCTCAGCTTTCGTGCTTTGCGTCTCAACACATTCTGTAATGTCAGGTGTATCTAGGGGTTCCAACTCTTAACTTTTAAAGAAAGAAAACCAAATAAAAAATTATTCACATTCAGGTCTTCCTCCAGTGGGTTCTGCATATCACCTCTTGTGTCGAGGGTCCCCAAGACCACCCTTAGGTTTAGATTCACTAGAATGACTCGGGACTGAGCATATAGTCACACTCTTGGCTGCAGCAAAAAGACACAAAGTCTTGAATGTAGTGGGAGCCTCCTCAGACAGAACTATTCATAGATTTTGGATTTTGCAGCCTCTGACCGCACATTCACTAGCCTGTGTCTGGCTATCCTCTAGAGCAGCACCATGCAAAAGAAATACGTTGCAATTTAAAATTTTCTAGTAGCCACATTTTAAAAGAGTAAAAAAAAAAAAAAAAAACCAAGTGAAATTGATTTTAATAATATACATTATTTAACCCGGCATTTAAAATGTTATCATTTCCTTATATAATCAGTATTAAAAGTTATTGATGAGATCTTTTACATTCTTTTTTTTATGCTAAATCTCCAAAATTTGTGGTCTATTTTATTTTATATCCAGGTCTGTTTTGTATTTACAGCACATTTCAATTCAGACCAGCCACATTTCAAGTGCTCAGTAGCCGAATAAAGCCAGTGGCTACCAAATTGGGCAGTGCAGCTCTAGAGAAAGGCCAAAAAGTCACTCCGCTTCCAGCTGGAAACTGTAATGTACCCTACCTCTGGGTATTCATTTGCAATAGAGGTCTCTGCCTCCAATGCCATTGTCCCAAGGAAATACCAGGGCAGGTGCCCTGATACACGCTCAGAAGTTTCACACAGACTAATGCAAAACGAACTTAATTACTAGGGTAGAAAAGCAGCTCCTGGCCATGGAGTCCATCTTCAACTCCTAAAGATCCACCTCAAAAAACAAACAAACAAACAAAAACCTAGCACTCTTAGTAAGTTCACCACGAAGCCCTAAGCAGCTATGGGCCCCTAGAAATTAAGACCAGATGCTTAATTCTTCCAACGGGTAATTTTTACCCATTTACCAATAAATTGAGACCAAGAAGGCAGAAAGCTACTCCATCCCAGATCACCATTCAAAAAGCCCTGTAGTCCTGCAATCTCACGAGGATTAGCAAACCTCATCCAGTGACGCCAAAAGAAAATCCCTACATCTGTCAATGCTTGGCTGAACTCTGGGATCCCCTGACAGTCAGTACATAAGTGTGAACTGGGAGTAAAGGAGGCCTCCAGTGCACCGGCAACCAGTTACATGTCCCGGCAGACGAGGCCTGGATCCAGGCCTTTCTGCTGTGCCAGGATGCAAACTGAAAAGGCCACTGGGGCCTTTACAAGAGAGCCGATTTGATTCATTAGGGACTCTAATAGTCCCATGTG